ATATAATCTCCTAATTCCCCTGGGGGTTTTCTGAGCAGTGGGTCAACTTTAGTAAGATTACCTACATAGAACTTTCTGACACTCAGAAACATAGAACACACTGAAATCAGGGCAGTGAGTGAGAAAATATGTACCCTAATCAGGGTTTGACAACAGGGCAGGATTCCAATGGCTTTGCGGGTTCTAGTCCCAGCTCCGCCTACAGACCTTAGGCAGGCCCTGGGCCATGGCCTCCTGAACTTTGTGTCCTCAAGTCCCTGCAAGGACAAAGCCCATGCTCAGGGGAAAGGGGAGGGGGAATAGGGAGGACACCGTTGGGAACAGTCAGCCTCAGGTGAAGCAAAGGATGGGATGGAGGTGATGGGGAAGCCTTTCAGAGAAGGGGAAGGGGGCCTTGATGGAAGGGATGGCAGAGGGAAAGGCATCTCTGGGGAGGGGTGTGGTTCATTCTGGGGCAGCAGGAGGCAGGGTTGGAGGCTGCACGAGACACTGCAGGTGCCCCACCCAGGTTCCTGTCACCAGCATGGGCACCCACTCTCCAGCAGCTTCAATATTGGCTGCTGCTGGCTCATCGGATTGCCTTTGGCTAAAGGAGCCACCTTGTCATTGCTGTCCCCAGCCAATGACTTACATGGGAAAGGGTTACAAAGGCCCATCTCCTCGCCTCAAGGCAGAAGAACTTATGGTGTTATTCATACTCCAGGACTCCCTAGAGATCGGTTTGAGGTCAGAGAAGAGCTGAAAACAGCCTGGGGTGGCCCCTGCACCTGTCCCAGCCAGCTCCTCCGACCCCCTACTTTTTTCCTGAGCCCTCTCCCTCCACAAGCCATGAGCATCAGAATCTTCATCTCTGGTTCTGCTTCTAATAACTGCAAATCAGTTAGGGACAGGAGAAGGCACAGTTAAAGGGACCTTGGGTGCTAGAATAACTAGAAGGGCTGTGAGCCACCTGTACAGAAAGAAACCTGGCTCCTTCAAGCTGGTCCCATATATCACTCAAGTTCACCCAGCCAAATGGGCTCTACTACCACATTTTCCCAGCCTGGGGCTCCCTGGGTTCTAGCCTCACTCAGAGAACTTCCAGTGGATTTGCTCACAGGGGCTGCAAGTCTGCCAGTTTAGCTAAAGACTGTGGTAGGTGTCAACCTTCCTGGCCCAGAAACACTTCTGTTGGGGGAGATGCCGTCTGCCTGATCTGGCCTACAGGGAAAATGTCAGCAAAGGTGCTTTCAAGAATAGAGACGGAGGCTGCCTCTTTCTTCAGCCCCTTTGGAGGCATTTGTGAAGGGAAAAGCAGATAGAAAGGAAAGGTCATCTCCTCCCCTTGGGTCCCCGTCCCTCTCAGCTATCTTCATCTTCACTGATCCAAGTACCATCCACCAATCCAACAGATGCTGGCTGAACACCCACCAGGTGCCAGGCACTGTTCTAGGCACTAGGCCACAGCAAGGATCATGACAGCGAGATCCGACTCTCAGAAGGCTTACAAATGAGTCAATGGAGGCTGGAAAAGATAAGTACATTACACAGAAATAGCACGAACCTCGATGAAGCCTAAACAATAATGGCAGAGAGAGAGAGAGACTGAGTCTAGGGAAGGTGAGCCCGTTCAGGTGGTGTCTGGGGCAGCCGCTAGGAGATGACACTTGAGCTGAACCCTCAGTGCCAAGAAGTGGCCAGTCCAGCAAAGACTCGGGGGAAGATCATTCCAGGCAGAGGGAACAGCAAATACAGAAGTCCCAAGGGGCCCTGAATATGTCAGAATCCAGAGGCCCAGGGAGATGCCCTGGGAACCTTGGGGGTCATTTTCCCCTTCATCTGCTTCTTCACAGGGCTCCTCGTGGAAGCTGGAGGATCTGCCTGAAGCTTTGGACAAAGCAGAGCTGTTTGCCTCTCCTAGATGTCAAGCTACGGTTTGAACAGTGGCCCTCACATTTCATAAGGACGGAATAACAACCTTCTGTTTTTTTTCTTTTTTTTAATGTTTTCTTTTTAATGCCTCATGGAGCCTGATATTCTGGCCACTCACTGTACAGACCGTCCAACTCCCGAGTGTCAAGGATGAGAATGATGAAACTTCCTCTCTGGGTGAAAATGCTTCAGCTTCCTTCTCTGTAAACACACGAATATATTGAATATTTACAAACGGTCTTTTGGGGGCAAGGTCGGGCCCAAAAACCCCTGAGGGCAGAGGGGACAAGGGCTTTGCTCTCCTCTCCCAGGAAATGTGGAGCCAAACGAGGTACAGATTAACCTTGCCACAGACTCCTGCCAGGGCAACCTCCCAGAAAGTGTTTTTGTTTTGTTTTGTTTTGTTTTGTGATTCTTCAAAACATGACAGCTGGGCATATCATGAAAAATTTGTCCCTTGACCCTGTTTTTCTTTTAGAACTTGTGTTTCGAGCCAACAGAGTTGAGACGTGAGAATGCTGATTTACTTAAATAGGTTTGCTGATCACTGCTTACAAACAAGGCCAGCCCTTTTTTATGGTGCTTTCAGTCCTCAGAGTCACAGGGCTTCTGCTCTCATCTCCCCAAAGGAGAGGCAGGAACGGTGCCCAGCAGAGAGCTGACTCTCTCCCCCATGGCACAGAGCCTTGTGTTTGCTATGAGGTAAATTAAATATTAAGTAAATGTTTATAAGATGAGAGGATGGGTGGGTAGCTGGATAGATGGCTGTTCTGTTTTTCTTTTTCTTTCTTTCTTTTTTTTTTTTTTTTTCGAGACAGAGCCTTAAGTTATTGCCCTGGGTAGAGTGCCGTGGCATCACAGCTCACAGCAAACTCTAACTCCTGGGCTCAAGCAATTCTCCTGCCTCCACCTCCCAGGTAGGTGGGACTACAGGCACCCACCACAACGCCCGGCTATTTTTTGGTTGCAGCCGTCATCGGGCCCAGGCTGGATTTGAACCCGTCAGCTCAGGTGTATGTGGCTGGCACCTTAGCCACTTGAGCCACAGGCACCAAGCCTGTTGTTTTTCTAATGAAGAAATGATCTTTCAAGGGCCACCAGTAGCCAGGATTTGATTCTCCCCAGGTCCTAGCTTTGGTTATTAAGTATAGAATGTTCCATCCCTCCCATCCTTTCCCCAGGGACAGAATAGGGGTGTCCTCCTGTCAGAGAGCCTTCTTACCCCCTCTTCTCTGATGGCAATTATCCAGAAATGCCTATCTGCAAAGCGTATGAATTTGGCTTGGTATGAATTTGGATCCCACAGATCTCTGAAAGAGCATTTGCTTCCCAAGTCTGATCTCTGAGCTTGGAACAAAGGCCTTTGTTGTCAGGTGGAAGCCTCCACCAGCCTTAGAGCCAGCCCTATGTCTCTCCCGAGAAATGCTCTGCCTGGCACCATATTATGCTGGGGTAGCAGGGATCACCTTAGCAGGGAAGGCCTTGTACAAGGGCAAATGAAAGCACAGAATTCCTCCAGGGAACACAGCATAAAATCCAGAAATAGCCCCACTGCCTGAGTAATGGGCACAGAATGGGTGACTTACTAGGTGATGTTAGGATAGAAGGTGAGCCAGCTGGACTCAGCAAAAATTGGAGGTGTGCCTCATGCTGTGTACCAAGATGCCCTGCAAGAGGATTGGAGATTTCAATGCAAAGACGGAACCATACAAGTGCTCAAAGAAAATACATGTTAAAATACATGTTATCGCCTATAACTTGAGAGTGGGAAAATGTTCCTAAATGTGACTCAACATCTGGAAGCAATAAGGGAAAGATGAACACATCAAGGAATTGAAATTTTGTATGGCAAAAAATTAGCAACATTAAAAAGACAAATAGACTCGTAAAAAAAAATTACCGCCTAGATCATAAAGGGTCAATATCCTTAGTTCTGAAAGTTTCTAATTCTCAGCCTATAAAAAGCTGCTAATATTAATGAAAAGACCAACCTGATAGAAAAATACCTTAAAAATAGGAACAGCTTGGCCGAGCATGGTGGCTCATCCCTATAATCCTAGCACTCTGGGAGGCCAAGGCGGGAGGATCTCTTGAGCTCAGGAGTTCCAGACCAGCCTGAGCAAGAGCAAGGCCCCCATCTCTACTAAAAACAGAAAATTAGCTGGGTGTTGTGGCAGGCGCCTATAGTCCCAGCTACTTGGGAGGCCAAGGCAGGAAGATCACTTGAACCCAGAGTTTGAGGTTGCTGTGAGCTAGGCTGGTGCCCCAGAACTCTAGCTTGGGCAACAGGATGAGACTCTTGTCTCAGAAAAAAAAAGAAAAAAGAAAAAAAAAAGAACTGCTTACAGAAAAAGAAAGGCAAATACTCCAAAACTATATGGAAAGGCGCTCAACCTCACTTATAGTAAAAGAAATGCACATTGCCCCAAGGAACTATTTCTCACCGATCAGATTGGCCAAAATCCAAAAGTTTAACAAAATAGTATACTTTCTTGCTGCCCAGGCTGTGAAAAAAACCAACATTCTCACACACTGCTGGACTGTGAAATGGCATCATCTCTGCGGAAGGAAGGGGACTTGGCAACATCTAGCCAAACCGCATGCAAATTTGCCCTTTGATCCTACAATCCCACTTCTAGGAATCTATCCTAAAGATACGCTGCAAACATGATGAAAAGGCACAGGGACGTGGCTATTTATTATAATAGCCAAAGTCTGGAAAAAAGCCAAAAGTCCATCAATAAGGACCTTGAGAAAGAAACAATAGTGCGTCTGCACAGTTGGGTATTTTGCAGCCATAAGAACAAGGAAGACTTTTATGAACTAATACGATATGATCCTCAGGACACCTTGTTAAAAGAAAAAAACTGATGTGTAGAAAAGTGTGCTTAATGTACTATTTATCTGAGGAGGGATACAAATATAAATAAAAATATATAAATACATATTTGCTTAATGTCTATTTAAAAATAGACATTGGTAGTTTAAACAAAAAGAATAGGGTGGGGGGAAAAAGAATAGACACTAGGTCCTTTTAAATTTATCTTACTTGATAGATTTGACTTTGACCATGCACATTTTTTTTTTTGTAGAGATAGAGTCTCACTTTATTGCCCTCCATAGTCACACAGCTCACAGCAAGCTCCAGCTCTTGGGCTTAAGCGATTCTCTTGCCTCAGCCTCCCAAGTAGCTGAGACTACAGGCGCCTGCCACAACGCCCAGCTATTTTTTTGTTTCACTTCAGCCAGGGCTGGGTTTGAGCTCACCACCCTTGGTATATGGAGCCAGCACCCTACCAGCTGAGCCACAAGCACCACCCCTTTTCTTTTTCTTTTTTTTTTTTTTTTTTGAGATAGAGTCT